CATTGTTACTGAATTCTGAAGAAACTGTCATGTTCGGGTCTTCGTTGTATCACGGAAGAAGTCTGTGAAATTCGACCCAGATACGGGTTTCTTTGAACAAAGTAGCGAACTTTTAGTTTATGTATCGATTATCAGCTTCTCAAGAAAGATTCCGTTTCAAGGAATTAGCTAAGCATCAAGCATCTGGAAGCCTAAAACGCTCAAAACATTTCTTCTAAACTGTGCTACCACCTTATTTGGTATTTTTAATTTGGCGTGAAAACACATCACTGTATGCAGTTAAATTAGTTCTGTAATTTTGGAAAACACATTCCTGAACCATCATACCAAGCTTTCTATTTTAAATTATTGTAGGTGTAATTTTTTACTCCCTCTCTCGTAAACCTCCATTAAAGTCACATTCTCAGAACGTTTTTGTGATAACAGTTGCTATTGCGGAAAGAAAACTTTGTGTTCATAGCTGGCAATTTACCAGCTTCTTTGCCTTTAGTTAGGCATACGAGTCCTTACATTAAAATAAATCACCTACCTCTGAGAAATTTTTACTTGTTATTAGTTTATTTAATTTCGCGTCCTCGAGCACATATAATGTGTAATCGCCCGTCAAAAATGACAGAAGAATCTAAAATAGTACAGTTATAATGTGATAGTGAAGATTTTATGCACCCCTGATTCAAACCTACTGACCTTTACATCTTGAAATTTCCTTCTTCAGAGAATGTCACGTGTTGCGGTAGAGTGGTTCGCCCAGGAGTCATGGTTACACTAAGCATCGAGAATAAGAGAGAAACCCGTGCTCTAATAGACGCAGACAGCAATAGTCAGTCTGAAGTTTGAAGCCTATAGTCACTTGTAAGGCCAGCAAAAGCGAGCCTGTATTGTTGAACTGAAGTTTAAATGCTTATGTTTTCGGTTAACTTTGTTTCCGAGGACTGACTGAATTGCAACCATCTTGGAGTGAATAAAAATGAAGTCGGTGCAGACGATCAAGTGTTGTGGACATTAGCAGTTAAATAAATTAGTTGGAAAATGTAACAATTATAGTCTCTAGAATGTTTATCCATGAATGCTAACGTTTGATATGCTGTAATGAACTGCTTAAAACAGGCGAGGTGGACGATCAAGGACCTTATGAGATTACTTTTTTGATTCGGCCGACATACATACTGAAATGCATGAGAAGTCTTCGCGTGTCAGATTTTAACCGAAGTTGGGGTGTGTTTGACAGATATTACTGAAACTCCCCAATGGGTCTGCAGAGTTTAATTAAGGTTCTTTTAATGATTCTCTAGTTTTTTATTCAGACAAACAAATATGATGAAGGTAGTTGGCTCATTTGTACACGGCTGCAGAAGATGAGAATCAAGATAACGAAAAAAGTGTTGGTGACAGTGGTAAAATGAAAAACGGATGAAATGATTTCCTACCCCCATTGCGGCGAAATTTAACACAAAACTATTTACATTCATTGGTGTGCTTCAGAAGTCAATTTGTACCTGAATTAAAACCGACTACGTCTGATATTTCTCACTCCATGGAGTATGGACGAAAACTCTTTTGGAGAAGCTAATAGTCGCTCAGATTGTCAAGAAATCCCTTTCCTTTTTTGGAGAATGAAGTTTGATTACCGTATTCACAAGTCCACCACTTGACTCCATCCTTCACCTAATAAACTAACTATCTCACATTTTATTCAAGATCCGCTTTAATATTAACCTCCCATCTACACCAAGGTCTCCCAAGTGACCATTTTCCTTCAAGTTTTCCATTAATATGTTGAGTGCATTTTTATTTTCTTCCTTACAAGCTACATTCTTTGCATGCCTCATCTTTAGTGAATATATCACACTGATAATTGGAAGTGATGTTAGCGTACGGCTGGCGTCATAATTCCAGTCATTCGCAGTCTCCCAGTATTTGTTGGTGTGTTGCTTTTCTCTACTGTTAATTACAGTTATTCATGCTAGATGTCTGTTGAGCAAAGACGCCAATTTGTCTGCATAATTTAAAGAATTTTAATCTTGTATGTATGTTGTTATCAACGTTCCAGAGAAATGCCTCGTTTCCTTCTTCAGAGTTGCAGTATCAGGGGGCTACGTAGGCATTGCATAATGACAGTTTATTTTAGAATACCAAGAGTTATGGGCATTTTGGATGCTAAGGGATCCATTTTGAAACTACTGCGCAGCTGTCTTGTGTGTTCACCGCACTTAGTAAACTGGATGAAGAGAAGAGGAAAGCCTGAAATATTTAATATTTCAGTACGTCACGGTTCGGAAAGTCTGAGGATCCGACCCGTGTTGGGCAGCGAAAGGTTCGTTATTCCTTCTGACCTTTCAAGACACCGTTATTTAGTTTCGCTCTATCACCTTGAAAAGCCTGTTCTGCTTCTGACTCAACACTCAGTACATGGCACGATGTCTTCATATATTGCATTTGTTCTATGGATAGGATTCAAAGCATCTGCAAGAGTTGTGTTTAAATTGCAAGTGTCACGCTTTGCTTTGTACCGAAAAATAAATGAACATATTTCGAAGAACACAGGTACTTATATTTTCTTCAGGTTGGAGTTCTTCTTCCCATCTTCGCAACTCCGAAATTTAGTTTCGGTAGATTCTTCTGAAGTTATATGTTTGGAGCACAGCGCTGTACGGAAGCGAAACATGGTCAGTGGGAAAGCCAGAAAGAAGAAGGATAGAAGCATTTGAAATGTGGTGCTATAGAAGGATGTTGAAAATTAAGTGGACTGATAAAGTGCGAAATGAGCTGGTCTTAGACAGGACAGGCGAAGGAAGAAGTCTATGGAAAAATCTTACCAGAAGAAGAGATAGGATGGAGGGACACATTCTGAGGCACCCAGGATTAGTTAATTTGGTAATGGAAGGAACAGTTGAAGGGAAGAATTGTAGGGAGAGACAAAGATTGGAATATGTGACGCAGATTTTTGAGGATGTGGGCTGTAAAAAATATGTGGAAATGAAGAGATTGGCGCAAGATAGGCGAAAATGGAGGACCACATCTTCAATTCTCATCCTTGTACTATACTATGCTCTTTTGATTAAATGCAATTTAGATACTGAAAAAAGTTGTCAGGACATTAATATTGCATATTTTCTGCTGCTTTCAAGTGAATAATGAAATTTAATAAAAGTAAACGTCTTTCTGTTACGTTTCCCCCAAGACCTTGGCAAGGGATCGATCCGATGTTGCCAGGATCGGAAGGGATAAGTAAATTCTACTGGTCTTGTACTTGCCAAAAAAGAAAACAACGTGAAGTTGAAGCAATGCCATTATCGGCTGAACGACATTCCAGGCTGATCACGTGATGCACAGTGACGTCACTTTCTCCTGCTTCGACACACTGTAGTCAGAATAATACAGTGAAACTTTACTGCTGTCGCCTGTCGTATTTTTCACCAATGATGGGAATACTACTACTACCACTACTACAGAAATTATTATCACAGCTACTGTCACTATTATTATTGTTATTACTGCTAGAAAGCTATCTTAATCTAAGACCAGCTAAGAACCGGGTCAGAGATGGAACTCCTGTCTGAGGACTGAGGGTGTGATTATGTGCTGTTTGATTTATTTGGGCTATCACACACCTCGTAGGGTGATAATCAATAAGTGTGAAGCAAAGGTGGAACGACGATCAGTAGAGAAAACCGAAGAACTCGGAAAGAAAACGCGTTTCATTTCCACTTCGTTCATCAAGAATATCTGTTGCAGTTGCCCGGGATAGAATCCGTATTTCTTTTGTAATAAGCCGGCTTTGGTAAGGCCTTCTCCTGTTACTACTATGAATAATAACACGGCATATAAAATATGGATGATGAAAACATAAAAGGAATGCAAATACAAAAAAAAATTGAACTTTTGTATTCGTCTGATGGTTAAAATAAACACAACGCATTGGGAGTTGCTTCCGTCACAGGTGAAAGTATGAAAACTAATCTGCTGGGTCTCTTGGCTGAAGCTAATCTCAGTCCCTTAAGACTGGGTTCCTTGGATGAAGCTACAGTCGGTCCCTTGAGATTAACTTTATCCGATGGTTTTATACTTTCACCTGATGACGGAAGCAGCTTTCGAAATCTTGCGGTAGACAAGGAAAATGTCCAAGAATATGTATCAGTTTAATGACACACCTTCATCAAAAGGCGTTACACTAGCTAAAAACCAAGTTCTGAATGTCATCATTCATGTAACAATAGCATGACTCAGAAGCTAAATATTACTGGCACTAACCCAGAAACTAAATAAATAAACTGAAATTATATACTTAAGCTATTAACTAGAATATGTGTGTCTTTCTCAAAGAAAACATTAATTGATGGCTTAAATTTCTTGAGATATCATAAAAAGTTAATTTCTTTATTATATTAGCTATTTCAGGAAATTTTCAGACAAGTAGCGTCATACACGAATGTGCTGATATTTGAAGTTTCGTAGCCGTTGGGGATCGTGCGATATGAAATGGCAATGATTCAGCACTGCATACTTCAGTCTGTAAGATTTGAAGCATTCACGGCGACAGAAGTCCAAATGCAATTAAGTATTCACTAGCAATCAACCATTTCCACATATCTGGATTTGACCTTATTTTTTAATACTGTAAAAATCAGATAAGCTATAATGGAAACTAGCACTGCTTATGTCGGCAAACAAAGGTTCATGTGCGATCCATCAAAGTTCTGTATGACCTTTCTTGTTTCATTTTAGGGAAATTTAATGTTGCATTTATACGTGATTGCAATAGTCATTTGTATGATTGCAGGTGAGCAATCTTCCACCATTTACAAATAGGCACATAAAGCTAAAACGAGCTATATGATGTCTTTCACGAAAGTGTATTTTGGTCTCTATGATTTTGTATAAGATCCTTGGTGAAAAACCTGACGTTAAGAGGCTGCAGTCCTGTATATGAGAGAACTTAATGCTAATTATCATTCTTCACTGTGGAAATAACGTGTGTGTGTAGTGTAATCTGGCCTCACCTGCATTTCTAGTCGCTGTTCCCTCTGCTGTAACCCGAGAGGCATCTTCCTTCACTGTGTCCTAGTTCAAATTGCAACCGGGTCACAGCGAAACACGTGAAAGGATAAAAACAAAGATTACACCATTACAATACGAAGACCGTTTTAGAAAGCGCAAGCTGCACGCCTGAATGTATATGCAACCAACCTGACATTTCAGAGCAGCGGGTTGGTTCGCGAGGAAGGTCTGAGCACTTCGCACACTAATACAATAAACTGCAAGATTTAACTGCTTATGCGAAAAGCTGATAGTAGCTCGGTTGGGAAATAAATTTCCCGCCTCTTACGGAACCAAAATGTTTATATCACGTACATATTACGCCCATATAAACAATAGTGTACTTTATATATTTTCATATCTAAATCTTTAGATAAGTTACGCCACTCATTCGCAATACTGAATATCACGATTGTACCTTAAAATTTATACCGACTTCCCTTATCCTTATGAAATTTGTATTTAAAATTAAACAGTTTAGATCAAATAAGGCGTAGTTCCAAATCGAGTGGAATGGTTTCCCGTTATGATTTCATTTAGGATACTGACATTTTTAGTAATAAAATAATTTTGCGTATATAATTCATTAATGCTGTTATAACAAAATAAGAATAAATTACTTAAATTATTCAGTTATTTCTTGTTTCTCTCAATTAAAATAAGATACGCATACGTATTTTTAGAGGAAACCTTTCAATAACGTGGTTTTCCATTTAACATGACAGTAGGCCTACTATATGTCATTCTTTTTATTGTTGCATAAATTACAAAAGAAGGACATAATCATTTCTTGTCCTACAGTTAAAGGTCACGTCCTAAGTTACTTTTGATTTTATAACTCGTTTACCTTAGTTTTTTTTGCAACGTCTGTCCAGTTACAACTTCCCGACTTCTGTCAAAACAAGATGCAACATGGCGACCTTGGAAATAAAGTTCCTCATGGAGACTGAAGTTAATCACAAAGTTATTGGAATACTGTGTTGGGAATTGTCTGAGGTATTTTTGATTACATTTCGGGAATTTGCTCGCCTTCGCCTCTAGGTGACAAGTTTTTATTATACTTATACTTTTTGGTTCTTGTTAGTGACAACGGTTGGGATCGAATGCTATGCTATGCTTGTGCGCTAACTAATATTCAGTAATTCACAATCGAATCACACAAACAACTACTGCAGAACACTTAAGCGTTCAAGTATATTACAAGATGCATGTCTTCTGGGATGTTGAGCTCTGCTGTCTGTTAGAATTTGCTTCCTGTACTATCATCAGGGCTCACTTATCACTCTAATAACTGATGCAGCAAGCACCCTCTGTCGGATTACACGGTCCAGAAGACAGTAATTTTTAAAATCTCTGCCTTGAGAACCTGAAATCTCACCAAGTAGAATCAGTTTCTACCTCAGGAAAGGGAAGAAGGAATTGTGGTTCAATCTCATAGTAGGTTTATTAATAAATTCGGAAAATTCACCTTTTGTTTCCTATTATTGTAATATTTTTACGAAACGTCGCTTTTGTGGAAAGCGTCAACAGCCCGCCATCTCTTGGCAGCCACAAACACTTTATCTATCTTTTGTATGCAGTGTTCCTGAAGCAATCTCGAGATGGAACTAGAAGTAAGAATGCTAATATTATTATACAATTTTATTCCTTGGGAAGTCATTTATGGGTTGAGACTTCTTCAGGGCACGTAATGTGATTTGTAGCGAGTGTGATGACAACGAATATACATTTAAAGGAACAAAAATAATACTTTCTTTAAAACCGTTAGATTTTTAGCCATAAAACTTGCGTTGGTTTTGTCCTTGACTTAAAAGGTTGTCTGTCCTTTCTCCAGCGCCTTCGGCAAATTCTAGTAAGGAGTGTGAAACGCAGTCTCTTACTTTGAGGGAAGAACTTGCTTTACAAGTGTTTTATAAGAAAGTGCTCAAGGAGTTTTTTCGAACTGAAACGCTGAAATAAATGAGCAATTTGAGGTATTAAATAACCAATAACTTCGTCATGACAAGGTTAGGTTAGGTTGGGTTGGGTTGGGTTAGGATAGAATAGGTTAAGTTGGGTTAGGTTGGTTTGGCGGATGGAAAGGTTGGGCTGTTTGTTTCCAAGTCAAGGGTGGGTTTCAGTGGCCGAAAGGGCCTAAAATCCCTAATGGGCCGAATGGGCCAGACGGCCTAAAATGTCCGAAGGGTCTAAATGTCCAAGAGGGCCTAAATGACAATGGTACATCTTCAAGGAGACGTGGCAAGTGTCTTCTTAAGAATCGCCGATCTTAAGGTCCTCTTAGACATGATGGAAGCATGCGTGGACCAAAAAGCATGTCGCCAACAATTTCTGCATAAATTTTAATTAAAAAATCTTATATATGCATAGGGGCTTCGCTGCACGAACAAAACAAGTTAGGACATGTATGCACAGCATAACTCTGGTGCGTTTGACATAATTTTACTTTTGACCCTTGATAATGGTGCCATTGATGATGCAATTATCTTTGCGTGGGTGATGTCTGCGCCTCCTGTCTGGATGGGTGATAACGGTAGATTCCAGTAAAATTGCCCGCTGTGTCACACCCGAAAGCAAAATGCACGTAGGTATTAGTGTAAACTGTTTGTTAGTGTTGTCTGATTTTAACCAGAATTGGAATGTGTTGATACATTTAGTAAATCTCTCCATTATCAAATTTCCTAAGAATCGATTCAGCGTTTCTCGAGGTTTTGCAGTCAGACAGCCGTGACAAAGTAAATATGCCTATGTTTGCAACGTGCATAAACAAATTATGGTCTTGAGGTAAACGGAATTAAGAGGCCTAAATCAGTAACAGTAAATGAATTTTGCGGTTTGGTTCACTGTGTGACTGCAAAAGTGTGTTGGATCGGGAGAATTGTGAGAATGAATTACGTCGTGGTTTACACTAAGAATGGTTTTATATACACACATATGACACATAAACTTTGAAAAACAGGTGGTAAAAACAGACTGTTACAAACTTTTCACTTTTGTTCTTCAACAGAGAGTGTAGTTCTGTCTGGCTCAATTTCAGGCCTCCATATTATATACAACCATATAATTTCAAAGTGTTATACTGCTTTTAACTTCTGCTACTAATTGTATAGATGTTGGATGTGAAAAGGGGGAATTGTGAAATTATAACTTTCAGTATATTTATTAAATGCTCTGAATTTCTTTCCTTGGAGAGAACAAAGTATAAGAAGGCTGTGATTTGACTGATTCATGTAATCAGAGTTATTTAAGCCTACTTAAAATACACTTGGATGTTTACAAAATTTTCGTTGGTAAATTAATGGTTACTGAACACACACATTTTACACCCCTTGTGTTTTTTCAGCAAACCTTGTTCTTTTTCTTTCCATGGATGAAATTTGTACAAATGTCACAGTAGCGGATAACTTCATAAATGGTGTATGCTGCTTCTGTTACTTTCATATATTCAGCAGCTAGTCGTAGATCGAAAATATTGCCATGATATAATGCGTACACTTTACACAAGACTCTCCAGTTTACGTAAAAGTCTAATAATATTTTACAGGAATTTTATGTAGTATGTTTGTTTTTGAAGACGAATCACATTTCTTTTTTGCAAGAGTCACAGTGTGTTAGTGGAACACAGCATCAGCTATGTCTGGACTCCGTGAGGAAGTGGGCATTATTTCAACAAAACGTACATTCAGCAGAAAAAGCCAAAGTATTTTAGATAATGCCAAATATTATTTTCATTTTGTGATCACATTTTTTCACAACAAAAGCGGAATACTTATTTTGATGACCGCTATGAAGGCTGCATTTAACGTGTCCCAGATATGCTAACGTAATATATTAATGTCTGCTGTAACGTACCATTAAATATAGAATATAATTGGTTAACCATGCTGTTTTCTGACAAAGACAACACGTTGGCACAGAACAGAAAAATTATCAGGAACGCAGATATAATATTCGGAGATCTCATGAAGACATACTTGCTAGTTATCAGAGAATGTAAGATGTGTACTTACATATTTCACTTCGTGCTACTGATTAATTTACATTTAGTCTTCATAAAATAGAATATACTTCCATGTATCTGTTTCAGCATTGCACAATATTGTACAATACATCTGCAGTTCAGAAGAAGCACCCAAAATATGATTAGTTTTAAAAGAATCGAATATTCGTAGTTTTATTATTAAATCTGTTCGCATGAGCAGAATACATTAAGCTGTAGCTGATTTGCCGTAGAAGGTTTCTCACCCAAAAAGTGATTTTGTTGTTGGAAATACACAAATACAAGAATTTACATTTATTTTATATGTATTAAAGTCGCCTTCTGAAAGATGAAGACTTTGGTTTGGGTGTTGCCTCGTCTTCCAATTCAGCACTATCGCTGACTGGAGGAGATGTAGGTTTGCTCCGTCCAGGAAACCTCCTGGTGGTGGTTCGCCTTCCTGAG